GTGAACTTAAAATTAGCACCAATAAATCGAACAGAAAACAAGAATACTAAACATTAACACAATTTATATTTTTTTTAATAGTTGAGCGAATTTTTTGAACCCATCATTGAGTAAGTCGCTGTCATGATATTGCTTATCTATACATATAATAAAATTCTAAGTCGAATCTGTACATTAAATATTTTTTGGAAAATCTTATTGAAATTCGACATTATTATCGATACAGAGTCCGAATCTATAGTTTTTAGATTTTTTGTCTGTCTGTTACCGCATCACAGAAAAACCACTGGACAGATTTTGATGAAATTTGGTATGGTGATAGCTGGTTAGCCGGGTCAACATATAGGATACTTTTTACCGCAGGAAAATATCTTATTTCTGAGAATAAATACAAAACTGTATTGTAAGAGTATACTAATATGTAAAACCTAAGAATTTGGTTTTTGGTCACCTGAACGCGGGCGGAGCCGCGGGCAATGCTAGTTATACATTTTTAAATAAAACTATCTTTTCGGATTATTTCGCGGATTTATTTAGATTTTTGGTTCCCGACGTTTCGAATGCTTTACAGCATCCATGGTCACGGGAGAGACTGAGGTGTTACATGTCTTGAAGGTATAGTTGTTACAGACAGCCTACCCACAATTAACAAAATGAAAATTGCACCAATTACATTACAATATTTTTTAACTTTAAACATTTTTATAATTTTAATTATAATTGAATATGGAATATTACTTATTTAATTTTTGCTATTATTCCTATAATTATTACAATTTTAAAAATATTAATTAGTAATCTACATTTAGTGTTGCCATTATTATACTTATAACCATAAAGAAAAATATAAAATATAGTATTCATTATTTAAGCCATATAATTGTTCTACGTGTAATTTAAAAAGTTAAAATTAATTAAAGATAATAATTTTAATTTAGTTTGCTATTATTTAAAAAACAACTTACTAAGCAACACTATTACTATATACTTTTACAAATGAAAAATATCAATCTGATATGCTGTCATTTTGATCTACACAGTAAGAACTTACTACATCTACCTGTATGTTATGTTTATATTTATTATTTGATTTTATTATATTAATAACAGGATCCTATGACGATGGTTATACATATTGCAAGATCTTACAATAAATGAATTGTCACATTACTTTGTTCTGAAGACAGCGGTGGAGAAAGTAGCCTGAGATCGAGTGCCATGACTAGGACATTTACATGACATTTTATTTAGTAGGTATGGAGAGTCAATTAAATTATTGATTATTTCGTAAAGAAAAAGCTGATCTCTTTGTTCTCTACGCTTTTCTAGGGAAATAGTATTACTAAAAGAAGCAGAACCAAAATCTATTTTTTAATCTGTTTAAAAAATTATTTCGTATTTTTTCAATTAAGTCAATATATTTCTTATATTGTGGATTCCAAGCTGTAGATGTGTATTCCAGATTAGCCCTAACATATGCATTGTATAGCAATATTAGTATATGAGCATTTTGAAAATCTGCCCCTTGCCTAAATATAAAGCCTAGCATTTGATATGACTTAGTTACCTAAAGGTAACGGAGGGTCAACACATTCAACTTGTAGGGCATTAGTAGGAGTAGACTTCATACAATATAAATGCCTACGAATGTACCTAGTACTATTCGCATTTATATTATATTTGGAAGTTTCTCAATAGGTGATTTATTAAGGGGGTCTAAAACAAATGTACCGTAGCCCATATGACTACGTACAAGGAAATTGTACAACAATTTTTGAGTATATGGGTGGGTGTGCAGTGCACCCCACCACACACTGGACACCGCACGAAGAACATTGATATGCTTTTCACATTTTTTAATTACATTACTAATAGTAGAAATTATATTAGAAATGAACATGTAATTAAAAAATAATATAGATTAATGATTTGATCATCTGCCCGATCATCGAAAGAAGAACACTATCATAAGCAGAAGCAATATCAAGAAAAAGTACCTGGGCCACCGTGCTGCGCTCGGAGTTTTTTGCTAAAAAGTACAATTTTCTTAAAAAAAAAACTAAAAACTTGAATAAATACAAAAAAAAAACAAAAAAAAATTATACCTTTGTATCCGACCGGGATTTGAACCCGGACGCCTATGATTGTCAATCTTGCGTCTTTTTAAAAATAAAACCAAAAACTTGAATAAATGTTAAAAAATAAATAAAAATAAAAACTTCGTATGTGACCGAGATTCGAATCTTGACCTGTGATTGTTGATCTTGCCCTTGGCCGCTTGACCACGGTGCTTATTCTCGAGCGTGCAAATTACCGACCATATTTTGCGTGGAATAGCAAAATAAACTGCATGAAAACTCAAAAACACGCGTTTTCTCATAGAGGAAGAGCCCGTGAGCGCCAGACCTTCGTCATTTTATAAAGGCTGAAAGTTTGTCAGCGCATGCTCCCAACACAGATAAGAACAATGGACCATTATGAAGTTCAGGCTATGGAGGCTTTGGCAGGTACACGGTACTAAAGGTGTATAAAATACCGATCTAAATTCGTCAAATAATAAAGTGTGATTTTTTTGGGATTACCTTCAGAATATTATTAAAAATCACGTCATTCAATGCCAGACACTTATCATCGTGGTAAACCCTTGCCAGACACCCTTTTCATGAAATCATAATTCTACTTACGTTATAGTATAAAAGCTGATTTTTATATATAATACTTGGGTAATAATTAGATGATTTATAAGACTGCTAACATAGCATTTATTTGTCAGAGTTTTTGGTCATAAGTACAATTTTCTTTAAAAAAAAAACGAAAAACTTGAATAAATACAAAAAACTAACAAAAAAATTATACCTTTGTATGCGACCGGGATTCGAACCCGGACACTTATTCAATAATGCTTATATCCAAGCTTGTGAAATTATCGAACATAATATTTTGCGTGGAATAATGCAAAAGAAAACCGCATGAAAATTCGAAAACAGGCCTTTTCCCAGACATAAGACTAATATAGATCGATTTGGACATGAGCTAGTCGAATTTGACGACAAAGTTCCCCTCCGATCAAAAGTCCCCGACGCCGAAAAAAATCTATAAAGTCGTAAAGCCTGTATAGCAAGATTCCTATAGATCGGTTGTAAAATACGACCTGTAGAAGAGTACCAAAAAACTGACAGAGCAAAGCAACTTTTGCGAGATTTGAAGCAGAGACGCTTCGCTCGCTCGGTTAATAAACCAATCACCACGATATAACAAATTTTAAATTTTATTACAAAGATTACAAAAATAACTTATAAGCTTTCTCCAATCCGAATTTACAACCGGTAAGGCGTTACAGCATGAAAAAGCAGCAAACACACGCACACACACACACACATACACATACGCGGGCACACTCACAAAATTTAGCATTTTTAATAATAGTGGGATAAACAAAATTTTACATGCCTTACAATACGTACAGTTTAAGTATCTCAAAAACATCAAGAAAAACTACATCGATCTCACTAACAAAACATACACGAGCAAAGTCCCCTGATTTTTTTAAATAAAAAATATTTTATCATGTAAAGCCTTATCACATCGGAAGTTCGTAGGCGGCTTCCGTCGGCGCGTGCGCATGTCCGCTGATATCCAATACCCGCCACAGGCTATCACGTTGCATGTTACATGATACCAGTCTGCTAGTTTATAGTAACAAGGAATTAACCACAAAACCTGCCTTCGGTAATCAATACAGAATAGCTATTGAGTATAGTGTTCAATGCCTGTACAAATACATAGTACATATGTACGAACAAACACTTTCAAATCAGAATCCAATTTTTAGTAGGTACCTAGTTATTTACGTGTAGTAATTAATTAGACTTATACTTTATATAAATACTTATATTTTTAAGCTGATAAGTCGTAAAACACGTATAAACTCATTTATAACAATACGACACAAACTGAGCATTTGAAACAAGCGCGAGGCAATAAACAGTTAAAAACAAATGAAACCCCACAATTACAGTAATTACCGGCGTCTTTATCAAATCATGAGAAAATTCACGCTCTCAACCCTCCATGTCGCAATAAGGAAATGAAAGAAGCCTATGAAAAAGCAAATTAATTTAGTTGTGATGTAAACGAGGGCAGACGCGTAGTTTGTACTCCAAAGAAAAGATGGCGTTCTTTTTAACCAAACCCCTTTTACAAATTGAGTCGACTATAAATTGTAATTGTCGGGTCGCATTATAATTTTACAGTCGTAAAAATTTGTTTTTAAGTTAGTAGAGTTTACAAATGCTCGATAAGATATATTAATTTTAAAATTAATAATACAATATAAGTAAGTTGTAAGAAGTAATGTGTTCGTGTAATCTTGTCAGATAATTATAAATATATCATTATTGTTATGTTTAAATGCATCATTTTTGTTCGTAATTAAGATAACTGTTTTTTTTTAGTTTCATATGTTTATAAAATACTTAAATTAAGATTACCTATGTTTGTACTACAGAAATATATCCAGATATATCACTTATTTAGATGTTACTCTTCCTATTACCTACTAAATGAAATATTTACAATTTTCACAACTTTAAACAATAACTGAAAGAAAAAACTGCTTATGGCACAAACATGGCGTACCTCCGAAGGAATCTTAGTAAGCCGTCGATTTACAGCATGTTTATTATCGGTCTATTTTTACCGCTACACCGGCCGACCGATAACGTTCTAACCAATTTACGTAGCAATTTTGCCCTAAATTGAGTAGTACAACAGTAGAAAATTCACGATCTACTTTGTACTTTAACAAGAATATGTTTATTTATACTATTTTTACTTCGTACTCATATTGTAAAAAATTAAATAAGTATTACTTAGGTATATTTTATGTACGTTATTTTATTATTCACATTTATTTGACTAACAAGTCATCGACACATATCAGCGTGAAAATGTATGTAAATTTTATTTAAATATGATATAGAACATGTGCAACGTTGCTAGAAGGTGAAGATGTCCGAAGAGCTCATTTCCGGTGACTCACTCAACCTGGGTGTGATGTGTGCACTCGTTGCTCGGCCCATCACAACCTCCTTGAGTGAGCGACCGTGGATGAGATAACCACAGAAAGACAATGAAGACAACGCCCTTGTAAATAAGAATTTAGAAGAATATTTATTTCTTAACCAATTAAGACCCGCGACTCCGCCTGCAATGAAAAGCAGCCATTGTGTTAAACCAGGTTATAAGCTTTCTCCAATCCAAATTTACAACCGGTAAGGCGTTACAGCATGAAAAAGCAGCAAACACACGCGCACACACACACATACACATACGCGGGCACACTCACAAAATTTAGCATTTTTAATAATAGTGGGATAAACAAAATTTTACATGCCATATAATACGTACAGTTTAAGTATATCAAAAACATCAAGAACTGTGTATAAAATATTTTTATGTTCACTTTTCGTAAGAAAATTATAAACATCTAAAAATATAAGTTCAATAATACTTTAGAGCCATGATTTACCACTCCAGTGTAGGTATATACATACGTTCAAAACCGGTTGTATAGAAAATTATTAACAAAATTCGCGGCAACGTTTATTTTACGTGCAGAAATATTGATAGGAAACTATCGACCAAGCAGTAAAAATAGCCAGACTAACATACAGTAAGCAGGCGCGATCCTCAAACGTGATTTATAAGTTATTGGCCAGAGATATACACCTACTGACGACATCAGAGTGTTCGTAGTAACCACAGACAATAAGTCCCATAATATTAAGAATTAAAAGGGCATATTATGTACATATATTTGTAATATCCCGTGAATAATACATATTGGGCTCATCGTATGTCATACGGTTTAAAAAGATTTGATAATTAATTTAATTTTCCTTGAAAATAAACTAGTAGGAGCGCATTTTTTTGTTTTGTATGTAATTTTAAATAGTATTTACTGATACTTAATTACTTGGATAAAAAAAATAAAAACAATACCGGATATAGAATATTATACTGTTAGATTCTTTTTTTGATACTAAATTCTTTAAATTTAAACTTTTCATACGCAAACTATATTAAAACTACAAAAAAAAATATTCTTTGCGCACTTTTTATTGTAATCGCATAATTTTTTCATATTATTATAATGTACCGAACCCAAATTTTTCCATTTAGTGAATTCGTAAAATCTCATCCGCACACTGTTTCCATGGAAGATATCCTCCCATCTTAGCCTCGGTCCTAACAGGCAATTATGCTATTTGTAAGTAAAAAACTAAAAAAAACGACTTCCAGGCACTAAAATGTAAAAAATAACTAAATGGAGGTTTTCATTTAGAAAAGATACCTAATCAGATACTTTCGAAGTCGGTGCCAGCCGATGCAAAACAAATCTTTCGATATTTCGATACGTGAAATACATATTTACCTATTCGATAATCATATCTTAAAATATTGTCGGCTCTCACCGGCTAAAAACCTCTGTTTAGTTATTTTTACATTTTAGTGCTTGGAAGTTGGTTTTTTTTTTGTTTTTATTATTACATTTCTAGTGTAGACGTAATAAGCAGGTAATTTGTAAGAAGAAAGTTTTTTAATAATATATTCAATTAAATAATTAATTTAAAAATTATATTTATTGTTGATTTTTTAAAAAACCGCTCGACCGATTTCGATAAAATTTATATGAGACCTGCTAAGTATATCCTTTGAAAGAAAAAAAATTTAAATCGGTTCAGGCGTCTTCGAGAAATCGGTGAACATACATAAAAACAAGATTCCGACGAATCGAGAACCTCCTCCTTTTTGGAAGTCGGTTAAAAAGGAAATATAATATTTAATAATTTATACCAATATTTTTAGATTAAATATAAGGTTATTTAAAAAAAGTTTTTGTCTTTACTTTTAGGTAGTGTGTTAAAAAATATGATTGTTAAATGTATATATAAATATTAGTCATAGTTTAAAATGACAAAATATTGTAAAATATTACAGAAAATATATTTCTTGTAAGTCACACTATTCATTATATTTTTTTTTTAGATGGCAATGTAAAGAGCAGCTTTAAAATATAAATAGAAACCTAAGCACAATAGTGAATGGGCTTATCTTCATGTTACACCTGGGCGCATTGATTTGCAATGCATCTGATAACAGTTCAATGTTTCACACTTAGACGTTGATTGTCTTCATTCCATTTACATCTGTCTAATTCAAACGTTTAATATATGGTGCAAGGAGATAACGATATCGTATTAGTTGTATTATTGCAAGGTTGGTGTTATTTTCTGAAAACAACATTTTTTATTTATAGAAATTTCCCAGATTTTAAAATATGTATAAAAGTATTAAAAAAAATGAATCAAAATAAATCACCTTCATAAGTTAAAAATAATTATTTTAGAAGAGTAAATCAATATTGTTTAAAAAGAGTTGGCATATGAAGTCCTATTTAAATTTAATTTATCAAATTACGCATGGTATTTCGGATTATTTAAAACTATAATCTATAACCTAGAAACAATAATCTATCTCTGTGTCAATTTTCATCCAGAACCGTTCAGCCGTTCTGGCGTGATTGAGTAACAAACATCCGAACTTTCACATTTATAATATTAGTATAGATGTAGAAAGAAAATAGAAATATAAATTATATCTTCAATATATTACATTTCGATACACACAATATTTAATATCTTCGATTAATTTGTCCTTAATCTATTTTTATGAGTTCTACTTTAATATTTCACAAGATTTCAATGAAATATACATAGGTATCTTATAGGAATTATAATGTCTTAAAACGCACATCTTATACTTAGTTTATCCTTCGTTGGCAACTCGTATATTCGTAGCACGTGCCAAAGGCCTACGCAGCTTAACAGATAGTAGTAGCACCTATAGCATGCTACGCCGTAGCTGTCGACTTAAGACATTATTATTATCAAAGCTAATATGCCAAAGCTATTAGTAATTATTCATTAAAAGACCATAATTTTAAGCATCTGCGACATTATGTTAGAAGTGGCTTTAATATTATATCGCGTTTTGTGGAGCCCATATATATAAGAAGACTATGTACCAAAACACATATGTATGTGATACAATATACGAACCTCTACAGAATATAAACTTACTGAATCAAACCCAACTATTTACAATGCAGTGTCACACTATCCATGACGCGGTTTATCATGTAGAGTACATAGACGACGCTGTCGTTTAATTTGCCTGTGTTTCCTCTAGTTTTGCTGTCACAATCGAACTTTGTTATGCGACGCCGATGGCCAGTAATTAATCAAGTTGTTTAGTTGCTATCGAGGGTATCGCAGTAGGTGCTGAAAAGTGATTGTCAAAGTTTGCTAATGTTACTCTAAACTTACCAATTGACTTTGGCTTAAGTATTTAACTTACAAATATGTACGTATGTATTTATAAAATACTAGCAGTACCCGCCCGCGGCTTCGCCCGCGATCAAACAACTAAAAAAACACACTCTTTCACACACCGACAGCAGCGCCACCTACCGGGTCCAATTGTGTTTTCAAACTATCCAGGAGTCTAATGCAATATACACACAAAATTTCATCCAAATCGGTCCGGCACCTTAGGAGGACTAAGGTGACAAACACACGTACAGAAGAATTATATATATTAATAAATCTTTATAGGTACCAAAAACCATATTCCCTCACTTTATCTTTGCTAAAGTTAATTCTTTACCTGGCTCCCTAAGAGGGGCCTATTGTGTAAATAGTTTTTCATAAGTGTTTCGATAAAATCCTTCTCATATTGAAATCTACTTAGTTGATTAAATAAAAGAGCACAAAAATAGTGAATTTTACATTCCTCGTAAGAAAACGAGACCTGGGAATAATTCGGTTTGCCATTCCAGAGAACCGTAGGTTTTCTATGAACATCTGCATGGGGTTGAGTTGTTTACCGCATCGTGGTCTCAAGACAATTTATTTGAGAGAATATCGCGCAATCCACTCCCGTGATCACTACCGATACAAATAACCATCCACAAATAACTCACTTCAATATAAATCACTTGGAACCTTCCATTGGCTTTGATTGACACGTCTCTAAATAACATCACAGTTGCGACACATTAGGTAATCTTACATAATTCAAACAAAAGTTATAATTTTTATTGTAAATAATACTAAAACATCCACAACTACTAAAACTATTCGCATTCTAATAGGGATTTACATTTATTAAATTTATTCGCATCATATTTCTTAATTAAGATGGAGAAATAAAACAAAATTACATATATTAAATTGTTATCTCAGCTCTTATTTTGTCAGAAATGGGGTAAGACAAGTTCGAAATTAACTTAGGTAAATTACCTTTAAAAGACACCGAACTGAATAATCTCAAATTATTTAGGTAAATGTGTATTTCATGATTTACGCAAATAGGTAAATAAGTACAAGGAAAATTTTAAAGCCTGCCAATAACTGTAAGCCTGATTATTTAATTTTTTTGTATCCCATATGTGCATTTTATTTAACTCGCGATGAGTTTTCCTTAACGGAACTAAATGAAGTGTCCTGTTATTAGAACTCAAACGGTGCAATCCCAATCTCGTTAGCGACAGCTACGGGGAGCGTCGCACGTTGAAATAGAAAACGCCGGTGATTAATTGCCAATTACTTGGACTGCCGAGTAATTCCTACGTCCACTGATTGCTATCAAGGATATTTTTATTTTATGAAAAATATAATATAATTAATCCATAAACAGTATATTTCAATTACATCATCATTTAATATATTAAAATACTAAGTAAAATAAATTAAAATACTAAAATCTTGTAAAATTTCATTGATATTTTAATAAAAATGAATGTTGTGTAAAATGTTTATAATTTTTGTTTGTTAAATGGCATAGGGACGCGATTATCATTTTCTGCGATATGACTAATGTTTTTGAGCGAATCAATCGATTACAAACACTTATAAAGCATGTAGTCAATTATTAAAAGATAAATCTTATTTATTTAAAAAATACATTTTAATTTTACGCGGACAAAATACTAAGAAAAGATTGTATTTTCTATTAAAGTATGTCAATGGTCCAATAAGATTTAGTTAATAGTTTCAACACAGCAGACGTGGCAGACATGAAGCGAATGAATTGAAGACGGGTGGCCACTACAATGGTCGCTTGGGGAATAACAAAGCTAATAAATGTATTGCACTAGTGCGCACACGAAGTTGTGTAATATTTGACACTCCGCCTTTCATCAACTTAAAGTATTTAATAAAAACGATAAAAAAAGATTTATTATTATTTCTTGGTCCGAGAGAAGCGTATTTATAAATAGTGTCGCCTTCAATACAAAATTGTAATTTGCCTTGATATAATCCAATATTTAGCGTGGTGTAATTGAATATTTTTCCAATTTGTCGCGCGTAATGGGGCAAGATTGAGTTGACGGTCCCCAGCGAGGGTCCCTCCGCGGCACAGGACACGCGCGACATTTCATCTTCACGCATAATTTTAGACTCTCAATTAAATTTCGTTTTGCAAGAATTTTTAAGTTACACATACTTGGCTAAAAATAAAGGATTATTCAAATAATAATAAATTACACCATAAATAATTGCAATCGCCCGCGTTCTGATGATCAAAAACCAAATTCTTAGGCTTTACATTTTAGTATACTCTTACATAGCAATTTTTGTATTTTTTCTCAGAAATGAGATATTTTCCCTAATTTGATTTTCCTAAGTTGACCCGGTGTATTTTCTGTGATGCGGTAACAGACAGACAGACAAAAGTTCTAAAAACTATAGATTCGGCCTCTGTATCGATAATAATGTTTATTTCAATAAGATTTTCCAAAAAATATTTAATGTACAGATTCGGCTTAGTTACAATTTTATTATATGTATAGATGTATAACAACAGTTTGTAATTGATTATATATAGTTTTTAACTAGCACCTTTCTTTCACTTCGCTCAAGACTCAACTATACCAATCAGGTATTTTAGTAACTTTTAGTAATGTACTAATAATATTGTATCGCTCTAGAAAAATATTAATTTTTGTTAGTGAAACAATTCAAAATTCAAAAAAAATCTAAATTCAAAATTTCATTAGTTTTTATAAATACTTGGCGGGTGTCTTTATCTATGTCCAAAGCGAAAAGAACTGGCAATGTCCATGACATATCGGTAAAGAAGGAAGATTGTCCAAAAATGTACATAGTTTAAAGTTACTGCATATTTTGATCTTAATAAAAATATTATACTTCTAAACTTTAAATTGCTTTTTTCTATTAACTATTCATTAGGACATTTCCTGTTCTTAGCCGGTACCCTTACAATAGGCACAGGTGTTGTCAGAAAGAACACGTATACACGAACACATCTAAATGCGTTCTTTGTCTCAAGAAATTTTTACCAGAATTTTGATGAGAAGATTTGACAAGACAGAAACAATGAGATTCAAATCAATAGTTCCATATTTGAAATTACACATAATATATGTGTAATTTTAAATATGTCATCAATTATAAATAAAAACAAATATGTTAACCCATATACTCGTATACATATTAATTGCTTATATACTTATACATAATATTTGACATCAATCCTATGTAAATAAGTAGGGTAAAAGAAGTCGACCAGCCCACTTAAATTGTGCTAAACGTTCAGATACTAGCTGTCAATTTCTTTTGGCATATTAAACTTTCATTATTAGTAACCAAGGCGTTGCGTAGCCATATATCATGGAAGCGTAGATGCATGTCAATATGCCTGGATTACCCCCTGAATTCACTCGCCCATACGCTATGCCCGTCACGCGCTATTTTTTCAGTCGCTGCCAAAGAGACCCCATCTTTCAACGCCCGATTTCTTTCCAAATGGCTTCATAATAAGTCTTCTCATAATACCCACTCAATCATAATAAACATATTTATGTATTTATTACTTATTTCTGCTTAATTTGAAATATATTGTATGATATACAATATACGTAAGTAGGTTAAAATAAAATAAATAAATATGTTGGGACATTGACACGCAGCGCCATCTAGTTCCAAGGTAAGCTACGAGGCTTGTGTTATGGACACCAGATGGTTGATACACTACACATATATAATTTTAAATACATACATACATATTATAAATATAAACACCCATGACTGGAGTACAAACGTTCGTGCTTATCATACAAATGAATGCTCCCAGCGGGACTCGAACCCGCGACCGCTCAAGCAAGAAGAAGGAAGGAAGGAAGAAGCAAGTAGGGTCACTACAAACTGAGCCAAACGTGTCGACAAACAAGACCTTTAAGGTTTTAAATATTTATAACGTTATATTTTGACAACGATAGAGACGTCGATCTGCATAACGCCTAATCATTCCAGTGGCGTACGACAATAGCATACTAATATTGCTTGCGAGCGATTCCATGTAATTCCAGTTATTCCACCGCCGATTGAGCGCCAACCAACATCTTGAATATGTTACAATAATACTGACTCCGAAATGCCAGTCCGTAGCAGTATTCATCTGCCTGTAATTTCACCGACTCCTATCGGTGTTTCTATCGAAACAATATTGCTCGGCCGATAAGCGCTACAGCCGGTTCACTTGCTAGTACAATTTCCATAGTAGTGCGAACGTTCCTACTGTAATTTCATTTCATCAATATACAAAATTCACAAATAAATCGGTAAGGATAATTGTGATATTTACTGTAAATAATATATAAGATTTATTCGATTTTCTTGAAAATGTATATAATCTATACATATAATAAAATACTAAGTCGAATGTGTACATTAAATATTTTTTGGAAAATATTATTGAAATAGACATTATTATCGATACAGAAGCCGAATCTATAGTTTTTAGAATTTTTGTCTGTCTGTCTGTCTGTTACCGCATCACAGAGAAAGTACTGGAGGGATTTTGATGAATTTTTTTATAGTCATAGCTGGTTATCCGGTTCAACGTATAGGATATTTTTTACCGCGGGAAAATATCTCATGTCTGAGAAAAAATACAAAAACTAGTTAGAAAAAACCACGATGTTACTATATATATTTTAGCAAGGTACCTTACTTAAGTAAGGCAAAAACTATTAAAATAGCTTATCTTGAAAAAAAATAACAATAGTGCTATTGTATTTGGTTTTTGGTCATCTGAACGCGGACGGAGCCGCGGGCAACACTAGTATATAAAAAGCAATTTCCATTCGTTACTTTCACTAAAACTCAAAAACGGCTGGACCAATTTGAATAATTGTTTTTTTGTTTTGTTAGAGATGGTTTAAGTATAAAAAACAGAGAAAACCCAAAAAAACAGCTGCAAAATCGAAAAGTTCAAAACTTTTAATTTTGTACCTATGTATATATAATATATAGTCTATCTATTCCGTATTAACCGTTAAAACTACTCCTAAATAATGTTAAATATAATGTTCTAATTTATTAATGACTAACACGGGGAACAAAGAATTACGACATAACTATGATTCAGCAGTCGTAACTCACCTCCGCTTGAGGCTAAACCAACTCTGTTTATCGCACAGCATAAATTGGCAACACGTCGTAAGGCAAGCCGCACTCTACGTGCCGCTCCAGCTTTATCAGCATACTCTCGTAAAACAGCGCTCTCTGTTATTGCAACCTGGCTACGACATTTTTCTAGACTTTTTTCATATTGAAAAAGTGACCAGATCGTTACTGTTTTGGCGTTATTAACGCTGTGCAGTCGAAGCGTAAACAAAACTAGCCAATACTTCCGATAACGTCTATCTAGCGATACTTGTCGCTACCGCTAGCACTGGTATAAACTAAAAAAGCAACGCCTTAAGCGCGAATGTAATTAGAGGCCAATCGTAAAACGAAAAGGTTCGGCGTGGGACATCCCATCTGATAATGAGCAGAACTGGCGCCGCTCCAGCCGCCGCTCATATTAGGCAGCTCTCTGTACTGCTATCGTTACGACTTTTACACTTTTACGAGTTGTTTAGTTTACAGAACCGGCTGTGTACGAGCGCGTGCGCTGCCAAATGCTAGTACGCGGCTCACCGCGCGCATCCACTCCCTAAATATACCACTGCTCTACCGCTACGTGTAAATGAGATGTACGTTTCGGCCTCGTTTGGAAATCCAACATTCTGCCACTCGTTAAATAAATATTTAATTCGCAATATCTATTATGCTTATGTGGATATTAAATTCCGTCTGTAAACAAAAATGTAAAAAACATTCTTATAACTTTACACGTAAGATAAATAAAAAAAATCTAAACACTCAATGACCAAATGAGCAAAAATTGTCTACCTACCTACCTAAATTTAATTTTTGAAGGAAAACTTCATATTACTAGTTATACTAGTCAAATCTCCATCTCTCCAGCCTAAAATACAGCTTAAATGAAAATATTTTTTATTAACAAAATATAACGATTAAAAAGTCTTTCTTGACCTAACACAAATATTCAACGAAGTTAATATTCGGAATGAAGCTACAAAAAGCTTCCAAATGAAAATCTATCAACCGACAGGTTCTCTCATAACTAACTGCCGGCATCCGTTTACAATGAGACAGGGCCTCCATTCCCGATGATATCAATTTTGTTCAGTGGCTCTTAATTAACATTTTCTTTTCTTTCCTTTCCAGGTGAGTGAGGCAGGGAATACAAACCTGGCGGCTTTGAACGGCGCGCGCGGCGCACGTCCCGAGACAAAAAAGAATATTACACCGCATTCAATTCGAACACAGAAAAAAAATATGATCTGCACTTTTGTAAACGCAAATGAGGTTCGCTTTGAAACGTGGGACTTAATTTAAATAACGTTGCTGAGCAAGCGCCAGAAAACTGAAAGAGTTTCGAATATATGCTAAAATAGTCGAGTGCCCCTAAAACAATGTTTTTGATATTTTATTATTTCATTTCTTTAACAAAAGCTTATTTTCATTATAAAATCCGCGTTTAAAAATGATAAAAAAGTAGATCTATTTTTTAGTATCAATTTATTTAATTTTACACAGAGTTTTTTACATTCAATACATAGTTTAACGTATATATAAAGTAAACTTTACGTATCTTTTTAATTTTTGTCTCACACAATAACATGTTTTTAATTCACAAAAGTTGTCCGCTCATTGCTAAGTACAATGACATTATAAAAATAACAAATAGTCTTAAATAATGGTATTACTTATATCAGTTAAGATCGTACATAAATGCATGAAGACATAAAATGTTATGTAACAAAGGAACTATCTGCAGGACTTCGACCTTGGTAGCACCGACCTCTGCATGCTGTTGACCCTACGTTACTGACTTGTACTTTCAACCCTGCCCAAAAATAAATTACAGTTTTTCCTTATAGAACTTCACGTGATACGAAAGAAAAATGTGTAATCTTTCATAAATTATAATCAAAACTAATCTATACATTAACTCGAATGGATCGATATTATTATTTTCGTAACAAAAAACATTTTTTATTCTTTAAAGTATTAGTGAGTAAAATGTAGAAATTCTATACCGTAAAAAATCATGTTTAGTGTTCATTTATTGTAAATAATTATGTTAAATTATTTTAAAATCAAATTCAAAAATTTAACAAACCATGAAAAATAAATATAAATAATAAAAAACAATAATGCCATTGATAGTATTATAAAGTAAATAATAATATGAAGTAACACATTTTTTCCATATAATTATTATAGTAACCCGACAGTTATCGTTGGATAATATTTCTGGATATTATCAGGACACTGACATGTTATAAAACATTTTTATTATATTTCGGAAAGTAGAATAGAAACCTAGAAGAGAACAAGAGGTGACGAACAAAGGGTACAGTGCGGCGCCCTCTAGGGCTTTGCACCCTGCACTCGACTTGAGATAATACTTTACGTAACGCCCTAGCTTAGAAAAGACTGGAAAATTGTAAAAACAGGATTACCGCTTCTCTACAATGAGTACCTACCTATAAGAAAGTTCAAATTTTCAGCATTCTGTTTGCCCTATTGTTTATTATAAAATTATTACTTAGATAAGCAAACAATAGAACCATATTGGGTTCGCGTGGAATAATGAGGAATGAGTAAAATTACGAGAAGTATGTTCATTTTCATCAATTTACCTTGGAAAAACATATAATACCGTGCTTCATACCGTACCGAATGCTATTTGAATTTTACTTTACAACATTCAGTATATTCACATTATTTCTTACTGGTATTGCATAAACCGTATCCGGGCCACTAACCTTCAGGACGACGCCCTTAAGATCATCGTCCATGTCAAACTAACATTCAACTTATACTGTAAGAATATATTAAAACTCTTTGGTATTTTAATATTTGAAAAGTTTCTCGTCGCACTTGAATTCAACTAGTACTTGTAACTTTCACGATTCGCGCTCATATTTTGGGTCATATCGCGAGTAACTTTATTTTATTCTACCAACCTACTACTTGTTCCGCACTAAGGACTTTTGGTGCATTGTCACGAATTTTTTTAGAATATATTTTTGCAATGTTTCAATGCTATTATTGGAATGGCTCGATTATATTCCCAGTAATGATAAATTTATTAGGTATGTGGTGTCGGTATAAAGTGTACTTTTTTTGGAATGTTAAACCAATGTAAGCTGAAAAGTAATTAATGACTTAAGAATAGGTTTTAAATTATACTTTCAAGATTCAAATCACATAAATTTCATCCAAAATAAAATATTTTATTACTTTTGTAAATATAAAACATGTAAAATGATTTCCTCTTTGTGGTAGTCGCTGTTTTAAAGCACAAAATCTTAAAACGTTTAAGATCTGAGATGTGTAGCGTGTGATCCGGCAACTGCTGCCAATCTGCGGAAGTTATAAATTTGCGTAAAGTTGTTTGACTTGCGAATTTTCGATGTTTGTCCGGACGTGCGGGTCCATTTAGCCTCTAACCGCTAACTTCTCTACAAGTACCGATAACTAAGATCTAACTTCTCCGTATATGTACATAATAAGAGCACATCGACAGTGTAAATATTAGTTAAGTTAAACTAAATAATATTATAAATATTATATAATAACCTAGTTATATTTATATATTATTATAAGTTATAAATAAACATATTTATGTATATCTAGATAAAAAAAAATCAAACATTTTTCAATATATACAGAAAAAAATCTTTTTGAAATTGCCAAGAGAGCTACGAACCGAGAAAGCATATAACTCTCACCTGTTTATTACGTAGATATAGCACACGGATTACTTTTACCTTCTTTCATGGCGATGTAATAAAATTCAGCTTAAAAAGTACCTAATAGTTACCACGATCGTCGCGTTCAGGCTCTATCATGAAATTCGTCGTTTGAAAATATCAAAGGATCAATAACGGCACCGTTCATTTTAATACTTTTATTTAAGGTAGTTCATGTAGAAATTTTTTCGCATAAAAAGAGGACGAAAAGAAACAATTTTTAATTTTCATAAATATAATCTCATAAAACTTTAACAGGCCCGGTCGGGGCTGGGCTACTCATTGTAAATGTATCAAGACTGTTAATGTTCACTCGGAGTTGCAGCGCCGGCACCGGCGACGGCAGAGTCTGAAAACAATTCCAACTGTGTTAATCACTTATTTACGTCTCGGGTCCACTACGCCAGAGTATTTGTAATGAACTCAGAGAATTCCGGGGAATCCTAATGAACCGTGGGAATTTTGATTTTAATGAAGTGACTCGACTGTGCAGCGATTCCTTAGTGGTTTTGTTGAATCTTATTGCGTAGTTTAATCGGAACATTGTTGGCGTGCATCGAGAGCAACGCGGGAAGTAATTTCACCATAGTTCCGCCGGATAAATCTCGCGAGCGGAGAGACCTACGACTAATCGGTTTGTCATTTCCGCAATCGACCGCCGCGACGCCGTTTTGAATACTTAATATTTATCCTTTGTTTACTCTTAAACTGTACCACATAACCTATACAATTAAATTCAGAATATATGTATTTACTAGCGACTCACCCTCGCTACGCTGGGGTTCGTCCCTACTTACGTTTTAACGTTTAGTAACGATTTGTCAGAGATGAGACATTTTTCCGCTGTAAAAAGTATCCTATATGTTGACCCGGATAACCAGCTATCGTCATACCAAATTTCATTAAAATCACTCCAGTGGTTTTTCCCTGATGCTGTAACAGACAAACAGACAGACAAAAATTCTAAAAACTATAGATTCGGCCTCTGTATCGATAATCTTGTCTATTTCAATAAAAATTTCCAAAAAATATTTAATGTAGGTACCGGCTTAGTTACAATTTTATTATATGTATAGATGAATATAAAAATAAAGCAAAATGCAACTATAGAGCTTGAAGGCAGTTTGAGGTTCTAAAAATCTAACTTCGTTATTGCTTTTGTCATCCTTTTGTTCTTAAACTTCAATTGGTACTTTAAAAATTCAAGACAAACGCTTTTAGCGCGGTACGGTGAGGGAACAGTAAAAATAACTTGGGACTCTTAGAGCTCTCGAGGTGCATCGACTTCGGGTGAAACATCAAACAGAACCGTTAGTTTAGCCAATGGGGTTATTAGATAGGTAAACTATAAACTAAAACTCTAGATACTTTCGCAACTCTTGAAAGATACATGAACTTCCTTTTAGTTTAACGTGAACACAGGACAGAAAATCTTAAAAAATAACCATAGCACTTTTGAATTAAGATTAGAGATTAAAGTTCAAGATTCCATGCCCTCTTAATGGCAACCAATGTAGTTTGCGATCTCTTGAAATACTTAACTTTTCTTCTCAAACTGCTTACTAATAAAGAGCGATCGGTTGCACTGCTCTTCATCTAACTTTTACTATAAAAGATATCCTTTTAAATTTTTAATAACTTTAAACTATGTAGATACATACTCATATGACTAAAAATGTTAATTTTAATTTTCATGTTATGTTCTTATAGTACGAGATGGGTAAAGTTTAGATATTATATTGTTCGATACGAAAATAAATATTTTTAAGATTTTTGACATATGTTAAAAAAAACACAAAAATATAATAAAGCATTTGAAATCGATTGGATGAAGTCACAATAAAAGGAAGGTACTTGCTGTATAAAAAATATAAAAAGAGTAGTAACCTTCCTAATTTTAATTTTATAATTAATATTATTGCGTATTAGCACCCTCTCCCGGTAGTTTTTCATACTAATGAGGTTCACATAATACTTTCTACTTTAATAAACTAATAAGGTTCTCACTGTCTCATACATATCGATTGCTTATCGTCAGAAACTAACAAAAGAGCGAACATAATTTTGTCCCAATTAAAGGAATTGTTTTAGTATATTATATTTACTAGTACCTACTTTACATTATTCATCGATTTTTTTTATAATTTATACTACTGTCTTATACAATAGATTAATTACTGAGGAATCATGAACATTAAAGCCATTAGCCATTCAAGTGTGTATATAATATTTTAACAGTAAGTGCATATGTATTTGATTCCTACAAAGGCACGGATGTAAGCTACATACATAATAGTATATAATTAAGATTAGAAAATCTTAGTCTAAGATATAACCGGCCCCTCATCTGCACCAATTCTCCAGCCATAAGGCGCCTAGAGTTTTCAATTATATCCAATTTAGCAAACTCAAATAAAAGTTCATTCATATCTAACCATTATATCTTGAAATCTCTCGTCTTGAACTGCTCTGCATTTATATGATTTTCATTACACTGAATTATGTAATTTTAGACAAATAAGAAGATAATTAATGATAAAAACTTTTTAACAAAAAAATAAAAACCGACTTCAAACAAAAGCACTAAAAAGTAAAAAATAACTGATTGTTTTTGCTTTGTATGGGCTGGCACCGATTTCGAAAATATTTGATTAGGTATGTATTTAATAGGTAGGCTTTAATTACTTAGCCAAAGCACACCGACTTCGAAAATATTTGATTAGGTATGTATAGTAAATGAAAACTACCAATCAGTTATTTTTTACTTTTTAGTGCTTTTGTTTGAAGTCGGTTTTAATTTTTTTGTTAAAAAGTTTTTATTTTTCCCTTTTTAGTGTAGACAGTAGTAGAAAAGTAAGGATTATAACGTGTTAGGCTTGTCAAATCAAACAAAATAAGCCCAAACTCAAAGTATCTACTATTAGCCGTTGAAGAGTTCCACCTATCCACCTTCTGGCCTTACCATCAGATCAGGTCAACAACACCGAACCACTGTACTATCAACGGAAATAGAAATACTTGCAAAGTTTCAAGTCAATATGACAATTAGAAGTAGGTTAAATTCATCATTAGTAGTTTTTCCACCCTTAGGAGTGGTATTTTTTTTTTAATTTAAATGGGACCAATCTGGAAGTATACCCTTTCAAACGACACAAAAATTGTCCAAATCGGTTAATAAATGACGGAGTTCTGAGGTAACAAACATAAAAAAAAAAAAAAAACATACAGTCGAATTGAGAACCTCCTCCTTTTTGAAGTCGGTTGAAAATCAAATTTAAAGTAAAGAAATATATCCCTCTTTCTTTGCCTATACTGTAATATTTTGTTTATTTTTTATCTCTATCGGCCTCTTTCAAATAAATTTTATATTGGTACATTAGTGCTTAGAGGGTTTGGTAGAGTGTAGGTACTTATAGTAGAAGCCAAAACCAATATTTATTAGTTTATCAGAAATTCTACAGACTCTATATTTGGCTTGTATTATCTCAAACGACTTCCAAATAATTTCAAAAACCAATTTCATTTCAACCATTTCTGAAATTTTAATGTAAATTATATGTATACAGCAGAGGTACTTAAATGATTCATCTCAGCGCAATAAATTTGATTTGTAACATTGGCTATTAAAAATTAATGTAATTTATAGTACATATTTAAAATTAGATAATAATTTATGTAATAGCTATACTATTTGATTTTCACTTCAATTCTGTAATTTTATGTGAGCGGTATAATAAACAGAATTTCATGACAGTCGACGCAAACCGGATCCGCATTCGCAATACATTTATGTGAATATCAAAAGTGCTAACGGTGTTCGTCGATGCAATCCTGTCACTGAAAAATCGTTTCAATTTAGTAGCAGAACTCGGGCGTAAAATGGCAGCACGGGCGCGAACGCGGCAGCAGCCAGCGGTAATATGCTATTACCGTCGTAACAGCGTTACTCCCGACTTAATTCTGCCCGAGGCACTGCGCCGGCCAGATTCGCTAATTTCTCTTATGTGCGACGAACATCAATACCCAATTTGAATCTATCTCCGATAGATGACATCTATAGTGTACGTGCGTGATTGATTCGCTTGAACGCAAAGCATTTCATCACAAGAAGTTATCATCTTTAACGTTATATTTGACTGTCGATATTTTGAAGCCTGATATTAATAATATAATTATTAATATCCATCCATACTAGTAGTATTATAAATGTGAGAGTTTGTGAGGATGAATGGATGTTTCTTACTCTTTCATGCCACAACGGACGGACGGATCTGTGGTACAGAGTTAGATTATAGACTTGAATAGCATATCACATACCTATGGGTTACTTTTTTCCTAGGAAAATGTACGGTGGGATAGATTTGTTTATGTTTTTCACAGAGCAAGGGATCGACTATCTATTCCATACTAACCATTAAAACGTACCGAGGGACGAATCCGACCGATGCGAGGGTGATTCGCTACTATATTTATACGTTGTTAAAATCCAATTAATTACATTAAATATATCTAATATTCATATATTTAGAAGTTAGAACACGCTTAAAAAATACTTCTAAAATTATATTATGTAAGGAGGATAACCTCCTCACATAATATCACAAAATTTTAAAAGTGCTTTAATTAATAATTGTACTTACGTTTATCTAGAACTAGCGTTATGTTATCCGCGGACTTTTCTGTAGACCTATATAAGATACACAATTCCACCATACATTATTTTGTTATATCTCAAAGGGTTTAGACAGCGTTTTCGTTGAAAGCTCCCAGACGTCTTATTTTTTCCGACACCTCCAACAAATATCGTTATATTTTAGCCATTGTATACATAAACTTAACAAATTATATACTAAAAACTTCCTCTTGAATCACTCTATCTATTAAAAAAACTGCATCAAAATCCGATGCGTCGTTTTAAAGATATAAGCATACATAGGGATATAGGGACAGAGAAAACGACTTTGTTTTATACTATGTAGTGATAGTGATATCTTAAAGTCTAGAACAACTTAGTGTATTCACCCTAACGATAACAAACCTTGTAGAGATATTCAACTAAATCCCGAAGGAACATCGTTGGTCTACAATAGCTACGGTTAAGCGCTGGCTGTCAGCCACATCACATTCAAAGGAGCTATTAGCAAAGCACACCGATAGACATCAATTGAGTTTGAAGGCCTATATTAGTACGAATAGTTTCTATGTTCAATCACTGAATTTTCAAATCTATATATAAACTTTGATTGTCAGGATATTAAAAATAATTTTTACATTTATTTAGAAGAGTTGAAAATACTGGTTATATCCAATTATTATTGATATTCATGTGCATAAAAATCCATATTTCATAATATGTTAACAAGACAATAAAGTTTTTAATTTAGATACCAACTTAAATTAAAATTTCCTAAAAGGACCTTACTAGATTATAGACTTCATAAAAAGTTAAGGCTGGCATTTTAAAATGAAATAGATATTCCATTATATACTCAGAGAGTTGCTTTAAATCCTCTCTCCGTCAAAGAATCATGGAGATAGACTGTTATTGAACTCCCCGGTGAACATCAATGCCTATTGCCACGTCGCTTATCTGCAATATACGATGTAAGAAAGGCGTCGTGGGAGAAGGGGTCGTTTTAAGTAGAATATTATATGTATCTGAACAATTATACGCGAATACAAAGGAAATCTCTTCGAAGATTGTGTATGTACACACGATGTTTATTAATATGGAGTAATAACAATAAAATAAACTAAAATAAAATTATGAAGTACATAATTTCCTTCTATAATAGTTTTTTATTTTATTTATAAGAACAAATTAAAATGCACATCCATATTAACGAGTGAAATAAAGTCTCCATATTTATTATGTCGGTGGAGTTGACATTCGTTTTGACAGGCCGATGTCAGGGGGCCCGGCACGCCCCGGGAGATCTCATCCCACTGATATTATATTATTTTATGTTAATTCCCCCATTTCAACCGTGAAATAAAATGTAATTCGGGAACTCTTTCCCTATTTTGTACGCGGCCAGTTCTCGCTGTCCAAATATTTTTTTCCAGCTTAAAAGGCATATTCAAGTGGATTAGGGAATAAAATTATATTACGAGGTGTTGAGCCCGATGTTTTAAGTCGCGACATGTTTCTAGCGCCGCATAAATGTAACTTGAAGAGGGCGAGAGCACGGACGAATAATTTTAATAGCTCGCTGACAGATTATTTCAGAAAATTAAATTTTAGCTCGTTGGACACAGACCATAAAGTTCATGCTTACAAATCTCTTTGTTATGACATCGTAACGAGATTATGTCCGTTTCGTCGTGAAGACGTCGCCATGTCGTCATGATATCGCATGTTTTATTATTTAGCGCTATAAACGGTCGTCCGTTCGCTTTGCTAAATTATACAGAAATGTTATAATGTTAATATCGAATTCACATCAAGTAAATTTATATCAGTAACATTAACTGTGATTATTTTACTATCATCTTATGCAACAAACATCACGACAGTCAAATCTTCTATAATAAATATTATATACTAAATGTATTTTTAATACAGTTTAGAAATACTTTAGTTGGAATTATTTATTCTATCACTTGTATAATTTGTTTCACTTTTACGTACTTGGTTATAGTTTGCCAATTTGTCCTTCAGCAGGCGCGTGCTTCTATCGCCCAATGTCACGTGTTCACGTGGCCCTGTGTCACTCACGTTTCTTAAGTTTCTTAACCCTTAAACAGGCTTCTATTTGTTCACAACTTGAAATAACCCCAACGTGCTCTGAAGTCCTTCAAAACTCTAGAAACTTATTTGTTAACTCACGCGTATTGCAAATGAAAATTATTACGATCTCATTTCTCGTTATAACTTCATTACAATGTTTACCGTACTCTATCAAATGGTGTAGCATTACTTTTATTATGTACTATATTGTATTTATATTAAATTAGTAGGTAGCCTGTACATATTTTAACGAAAAAGTATGGAATTTTCAAAAAATAAATAAATTAGTAAACATTCAATCGCTGATACATATATATATATATATATATATATATATATGTAGTCAGGAATATAATTACTAATAAAAATATATAAGAATATTGCTCCCTTCATTGTGACATTTTTAAAGCATTTGTTTGAATTAAACGCGTAACTTATTCTGCATTCAACCACCACACTCATTATTTTAACGTGACACTACAACATTAACTTTGAAATGTGGTTGCAAATTTCATTCAAAGTTTGCAATTAACTAGTTGCCTGATGTACTGTGTATGTTAATATGAAAATAAATAATTTGGAAGGCCTCCCCGTAACTTCTAGATGTAGTGAAGTCTCGCTTTTAATTTTCATACCCTGTGACAAAATGTGATAATACGTAACCAACGAAATGAAATTTGTAGCTTTCAAAACATAGCTCATACAAAACATATCTCTTTATATGTGTCCCAAGTGTCCCCTAATATTGTTATTGAAATAATTATTTACAACAGCGACGGCCAGAACCGACGCTGGTTAGTTTTAATTACCCACGGAAGCGATATTTTATACAACAAATTTTGTTGCGCGAATATGTTATGTTGTATTATAAACAGTTTATTATGAATACGATAACGACGATCAATGAGTGTTATTTATTTTATTATCGACGTTATCTCTAGTGTAAAAATAATATAAAAACTGTATACGGGATGGTTATATAAGAAAATCTACTATATTAACCGCTTTTCGAGCTAGCTCTCTAATTAAAACTACGTGCAGCCTAATGAGATCACTCTGTGAATGTGACAACGCATAAATCCAGCGTAATAAACGCAACATCCGTTAAATAGGGCCGAGTCAGTCAAATTGTCCACAATGCGATTATTCCATTACGTGAAAGCTGCTGCGACCGCACGCTGAAATACATACTAGCGTTCTACTTACGACCTGCGTGCCACGTCTAGTTTCGTTGGTAAAGTCCACTTTATTAAATATTCACGAAACATTAAAAGCATTCGTGCGGTAATCCACGTAAATAGTTACCCCAAATATTTTCATAGTATACCAAAAACGTTACATATTTATTTATATACCTAATTATTTATTTAATGTTATAATTTTTACGATTATCGAATAATTATAATAGTAAATATATCTGCTACTTACTTATTTTTTATTTAAGCGAAACCTAGATAGCTCATAAACGTGACACGATAGCTAACGGATTTGATTCAATATTATTAGGTACTCAAAATAAGAAAAAAATAAGTCCCATGCATTAATTTTAATTTACACATACATATAAAATAGAAACATCAGTGTCGTAATTATTCATTTGCGTGAACATAAAGATTAAAGGTTAAAAGGTATCATTGGTATTTGGTAATAATAAACTTTTGACCCAAATTTAATGAAAGCTTTTACTATAAGAATATTTTTGAATTATATCTATGTTAGTAAAACTGTATATAATATATAGTTCAAACCTGTTATAATAAAAAAATCAGTAATGCATAATAACAGCATCACAAAACAGATTTGCTCTTAGCCTTTGAGCTAATTGCAAAACACGCAGAAAAAAAGTTATGCATAATTGGATTATTTCTTCATTAATATACTTTTGTTACTAAGGTGAAACATCATAAGATTTAAGGATTAGAAAAAACTACTAAAAAATAAGAATTTATTTCTAAACATAACTTTCTCTTCCCAGTTTGTCTCAAGTACGGCGACCATCCCAGTTAGATCCACATGGCACGAGGAGTGTACTCGCCCGTGCACTAGATGTATGGGAACAGGCATCAAGACTCACCTTCACAGAAATCAACTCGGATGAAGCCGACATTGTTGTTTCATTTGCCAAGTAAGTATACTTCATTTCAATAACGAAATACCAAATACTCTCTTGATCTTTGCAAGTTCGAATTTAGTAGAGCTTTATACAGAATCGGTAGCCTTAAATCGTTTTCACGGAGATCGACTCCGAAAGACCTTGTCACCTCTATATATCCTTATAGTTACCAATAGAATAGTTTTATCTTCTTAACTTTAACAAAACTTTATCTAAAATATTGTGTAAAAGAAATTATTGCCTCTAAAAAGAAAACCGAAAATAATGAAACTTCAAAATACGTTTCGTGATTCATTGCACTGATAATAAATAATAATCAAGTGAGGATTTGGCGGACACGTCCTATCCATTTAAGGGGATTTGAGACAATCTCGTGCGAAGCATCACAATAGAACATGAGCAAACTACGTTTTACCATTTTAAATGTATATTTGAATTATTTATATAATTTAGAAAATGCTTAATAAAAATAATGATTTTAATTTATATAACTTTAAATTCATTAATCACTTTATATCTAATAAAAAGTATTACCTAAGCTAAGCAAAGAAACTACTAATTAAACTTTAAATTAATTAATCTAGTTCATTCATCATTCAAGTCATTATTTTTAAATAATCTTTCGTAGTTTGAAGTAACAATACTTTCTTAGTTTACTGTAATTTGTTTTGATTTAGATATTTCTTTAAAATAAATATCATCTAGTTATATGAGAATAGTACTTATACGGACCAAGCAATATACTTTAGTTACTCAATCGTTTTCAATTTAAGGTAAACTATTTCTTCTCGATTTCGTTTCACAGAAAGAACGTGACTTGCTAAATTCACTTTGCTATTAATCTAATAGGTCCTTCTCACAGTAAATTGTATCGTTCTTACAGTGCGAGTTTCATTAGCAGAAGCTAACGTCGTTTCAGTTGAACATACGTGAAGTACGTGCATTCTACTATTTTGTCACCGATATATTATGCGCAGCATGAATTATAATGAAAATAAGTCAGGTACCTTAGGAAAATTCAGAAGAAAATAAAATTTCTGAAGAAAATAATCTGATGAAATTAGTTACAAAAAATACAAATTACGCAGAGTCGTAGACAAGAGTTGCATATCGAATGAGAGTAGGGCAAAGTTTCGCTTATTATTAGATCACCGTAGACGGCGATATGAGAAAGTACCGACGACAAAAACCTCAACTGAGGACATATTGCGACCGCCATATTGCTAGGAACGTTGCAAACTTGCAACATAAAGTTCACTGTGGGCTACATAAAATTCTTTTTTTTTTCTCGGAACCGAGGCGAGCAGCAAGTTGCGATCACGCGCACTCTTTTATTAGTTGCGACGGGATACTTCCGAATGCCCGACACGAGCTTTGATATCGTATGATAACGTTTCCAAACTTTTAGTTAAGTTACGAGCTTCTTATTCGAAACAAAGACAATGTAACAATTCGGTAATTTACTTATGTTATTTTTCTTATAAACTTCTAACTTATTTATGATTATTAATTAAATTATAATAAATGAATTGATATGTATTATAATATATTAATCTTCGTTAAAGCTGTCTATGTATATAAGTAAATTAATATGTGTAATAAATAAAAATAGGTTGGTAATAATGAAATATATTAAGTATTAACTCATTCTAGTTTTTAATTAAATATTTGTCTTCAAATGCTATAAAGACTAAAAAAATACATTATTTAAATTAAAACTTAATAAATACGAAAACCATTCACTGGTTAAACGAATATAAATAAGTATATTATAGGCTATGAATCAATAAGACACCATGGAAAGTTTATACGAGCCGTTAACTTATATTGCTCACTATAAAAAGCTTCCGTTTCCTACGACGTTCACGCCAAGTTATATATAAATAAATAAATATTGAAACGTATATAGAATATTACATTAAAGTAAAATAAAAGAGCGATAGTAAATATAATGCAAAAAACAAAGCAATGTTACAATTTGAGACATATCTATCTATATACATATATAGATGCGCTTTATAGTTAGTACCTACATAATATAGATAATATAATTTAAAGAGAATTAAATCTGAATATGTCTATATTAATATTATAAAGGGCAAAAAATAATAATTTTGTTTGTAATGGATAAACTAAAAATCCGCTTAACCGATTTAGATGAAATTTGGTATGAAGATAGTTTGAGACCCTGGGAAGGACATAGGATAGATATTTTTATCCCGAAAATCATCCCTTAAGGGGGTGAAAATCGGAATAAAAGTTTGCATGGGGAATTATTCATTTCTCAAGTAAGGAATATAAAAAACATCATACCTATGTATATATTTATACTAAAATATAGTCTATCTATTCCATACTAACCGTTAAAACGTACCTACGTAGTACATTATAAAAGAGTAATGCAATTTATTGTAGCATAGCGTAATGGCATTTATTTTTTAACCACCGACGCAAAAAGAGGGGTGTTATAAGTTTAACGACGATCTGTCTGTGTGTATGTGTGTGTGTGCCTGGCTGTGGCATCGTAGTTCTCAAACGGATGGACCCATTTCGATGCGGGTTTTTTTTCATTTGAAAGCCAGCTTCGTTGCGGTGCATGGTTCTTAGCTACGCTTGGTTAATATCGGTCCAGCAGTGTAAGAGTATCAGCTTTTTTCCAAAATGGTTTAAGGCATTTTGGCGTATAATTACTCGATTAAGTGCTTCACGTGTTCCAGTGTAATCGTTAAATGACAATTAATTTGCGTAGGGGTTTTTTTTTTAATTTTTAATTTATAATTATTAATGAACTATAAGTTATAACAATGCTGAATAACTGTTAGATAATAGATTAACCGTTGTAGAGCTGTGATTACGGAATGCTATAGGAATCTTCTTAGGGGTATTTAAGATTTATTACGCCAATAAAAAACATTACCTTATAATAAAAACTAAATGAGATAACTGTATTTATGTAACTCTTGCATATAAATTGTATATTATGTACCTATAAGTAATTATTTAATACAAAAAATAATACTATATAAAAAAATAAAAGCTGACTTCCGGGCACTGAAAAGTAAAAAATAACTAAGAGGGGGATTTCATTTAGAATGGACACCTAATCAGATATTATCGAAGTCGGTGTGCTTTGATTTGTATTGGCTGGCACCGACTTCGAATAAATAAAAATAAAAAAAAACACGTAAAAAAAAGAAAAAAAATATATATACGGTCGAATTGAGAACCTTCTCCCTTTTGAAGAAGTCGGTTGATAAAATGAAATTAAAAAAGGTATAATAATTAAATAAATAAAATAATTGTCATAGTAGCAAATGAATAACTTTCAATTTACCAAACAATTATAATTTATAGGGTATCATTAATAAATAATAAAAAACATACCAAATTCATAATAGGACCTACATAAATTACTATATGAGGTAGGTAAATAATGAAATAGAAAACATTTTAACCAACTGAAGTGATTGCAAATAGAATGTACATAAATACAATTACATCATGTCAGTCTATGTATAAGATTTGTATATCCTATAGGGGGGTATATACAATATCAACGCAATGAATCATCCTTATACTCGGAAACTTTCCATTCGAACCCATTATATTGATGGCGTATGTCAGCACTGCGCTTTCCCATACCTTTTTCACGTTGCCCTGAAAAGGGTTTAATAAAGACATAGATAGTGACAGTTTCTAGGACTTTAATGACATGATGATAAATGCTTTTCCTTATATTGACCGTAGAGCCTATCAAATTATACCATTAATAATCACCTACTTATACATAATATGTACATATATAATACTTAGTACGCAAAAGTTTTTGGCTAAATATATTTTTTATTGTACGAGCTGTGAGCTTTAGTATAAACACACTGAAATATATAGCGATTTCATGAAATATAAATATGTTAAGAGAATGCCAAATATGCTATGATCAAAATTAGCATAACTACGCAGCGAAGATTAATGTAAATATTATTTCTTATTCATATTTACTAAGAAATATCTTGTACCATAAGCGACACGAGTACCTAGTGAAATATTAATCTTGTGTAGATATGTAGTAATTTTCATTTACGTGAAAGATATAATAAAAAGATAATGACACATAACTATTAAATTCTTTTCTACATTGACTGGCGGTTTTCAACGCGATATTTTTTATTAAGTAGCTTCGTGCAATCATTTCGCTTTAAAGCGCAGATGATGATAGCAAGTCATACTCATATTCACATTATATCAAATACTAGCGTTTTCCTGCGGCACCGCCCGCATAGTACATTAATCACCAACATATAATATACTAAAACCTCCGAAACACGCTGCATCTTATAGTATGAGTATTTTTCTGCTCGGTTCAGTAGTTATCGCAGTATAACCGAACAAAAAAGTCGGCTCTCCATTTATTAGTATAGATGACTACAAGAATTTAACCTTAATAAAATACGGCTTATTATTCAAATAAAAGTAATATTGAATAGCAAATAAAATCACCACCACATATGGCGACTCATTTCGCTACAGCAAAAGAGCACTTTTATACTTCACCGCCAATATCGACTAATGGCGAAACTTTCTCTTAGAAACTCAATAGCATTCGACTAATACAGCGAGAAATATTCATGGACAAGGTCTTTCCGCTATTCTGTTTGCTCGAAAAATGATTAGATTGGTAGTGTCCGAGAAGGTCCCGAGAGAGATAAGTTTGATTGCTGTGCAGACTCGATGCCGGCCGCAGTTGTGTTGAAATGAATACATTACTCTATTTTCATATGCGAAGCTCATCATGTAATTTACATAAATATATGAAATATGAGTTGTGAGTACCGACTAACTTGAAAAAAACGACATTAAAGATAAAAAGTGATGCAGTGCAAATTTTTGGACTCAAAATTTTAGGTCCGTGTGCAAACTACAAATATCTACAAAGGTTCACATAGAACCTTTGTAGATATTCCAGAGATATACACATTTAGCTTACGTTTTGTAACACGATATTACTTTCATTTATGCTAAGATAATACTCCACTATCATTATGACCATCTTAACTCCTTTTAATCTTCGTAACTATTCGAATAGAAAAGTTTCTATTGCCAACTATCGTTTAGTTTAAAGACGATGAAACTGAGTTTTATAGTTTCGATCGACAATTTTCTAGAGCTCTTGATGAAGATTTTGTTGGCGTTGCATAAGCTTTTGTAACAAATATTTATTTAAAGTCCACTCCATACTGCTTTCATTATAGAAAATTTTGTTCATTACGTAGGTACATATATATAAAAAAAACTAACAAAGGCAGATTTTTTTTACTTTTATTTTATCGTTTATAGGCGATACCACGACGATGCATATCCTTTTGACGGGCGCGGCTCAGTACTTGCGCATGCGTTCTTTCCTGGAACAGGACGAGGAGGTGATGCCCATTTTGATGATGACGAACTATGGCTTTTGCAGCCAAACAATGACGAAGAGGAAGGTAAGATTTCTAAAATGGTTGAAATATAACGATTACTATAAATATTTGATACAAATATAACGGAAACAGAGGAAACAGAAAATAACTAATAGCTGTTATTTTGTAGATAGTTACCTATTAAACAAAATCAAATATTAAACGCTTTAAATTATTAATTTCATCACTTTTTATATCACATTATGATTTATTTGCAACATTGTTATTGTGAATCTTGGCAGCCAGTTAATCTATCTAGACATTTAGCTTATACATTGTCTTGCAGGACATGACACTATATATTCCCGACTAAGTCTTGAAATGCCTAATATATCATCCAGCCGTATTATAAGCCACGTCTTACAAATAGACTACAATAAAAGTACAGATAACAATTGACCTACTTATACGATTTGTTTTAACATTTGAATATAAAAATTACAATGAGAGATATTTTGAGTAATATCTTTTTGTTTAGAATAGGTTATTTTTGCTGTATCTTATCTACTAATAAAGTGTTCTAATCTATCTATACTAATATTATAAATGTGAAAGTTTGTGGGTATGGATGTACCTAAGTTTGTTACTCTTTCACGTAAGAACGGCTGAACGGATCTGGATGAAATTTGGCACAGGGTTAGATTATAATCTGGAATAACACATAGGCTAGTATACTATAAACACGAATTTAATTATACAAATTAATGAAAACTAAAACAAGACTAAAGCTATCATAAGTTAGTTCGATAATTAACCTTTTTTTTAACGTTGGGAAATGCATTTACGCACGAGGTGTGGGACTCACCGGCAAAGCCAGTACTACCCACTAAAACCCAACAAAGCCTTCCCCCGTCTTAATGGGGCGTCGCAGGATCGCTTACGCATTCAACTTCGACGCCCCGACGGCAGGTCTGCCGAAGCAGACCACAACAACCACGGGGTTGCTCCAAGGTCCACTCTGATATCAGAGAAGTACCAGGAGCAACCCGCATGGTACACCGCCCTCCGAAGAGGGCCACCTCCCACCGCCCACCGAAGTGGGCCACCTCCCTGTGCGTTTCTTGGCTTCGCGCCCGGCTGTATTGCCGGGGACTACTGAGCCCCCCCCCCCCCACCACGACAAGGTGAACGCACGTTGGGGGGGTCGATAATTAACCTGTTTCAACTTCCAATTCAACATTTCCACGAAAACTTTCTCGAAAGTGAGTAGGTATGTTGTGAGATGTAGTAAGTTCTTACTGTGTAGATCAAAATGACAGCATATCAGATTAATATTTTTCATTTGTAAAAGTATATAGTAATAGTGTTGCTTAGTAAGTTGTATTTTGAAATAATAGCAAACTAAATTAACATTATTATCCTTAATTAATTTTAACTTTTTAAATCTATACTAATATTATAAAGAGGTAAAGTTTGTGATCTTGTGAGTTTGTGACGTTGTAGGGGGTAATCTCTGGATCTACTGAACCGATTTTCAAAATTCTTTTACGAATAGAAAGCCACGTTCTTTCTGAGTGTCATAGGCTATATATTAACCCGAAGAATGAAAAGGCTTTTTCGTGGTAGTCGTATTTGCAAAGTAAGTCGGAGAAAAAACGGTCGAACGAAAAAGTTTCTTACGAACGCTGCCTTAACAATTAGAGATATATGATTATGTTCTAAAGAAAAGTTGTAGAGCTTAATAGTGCCTACAAAAAAGTCAGCGACAGTATATGTCTAACTTTTATATTTATATCACAAAATGTAGTTTTTTATATTAAAAAAAATATTTAAATCGGTAGGTCATGTTTATTGGTCATATTATCAACAATTATGAATTCTTATCAAAATAAGTAAATTTATCGTCTAAGATGTTTAAAACAAAAGACTTTTCCCTTTTACTGCATATAATTTGGACAAATGGTTAAAGAGATAATATAACATATTCGTAGGTATGGACGAACCCGAGCGAGCTGTTTGTCTGTTTTCCTGTTTGTACGGGCTAATCTCCGAATCTATTGGACCGATTTAAATGAAATTTTGCATGGTGGTACCTTATATCCCCGGGCAACATCTTAGATACTTTTCATCCCGGAAAATTAAATAGTTCCCGTGGGATAGTTAAAAAACTATAACAACTTATACGGCTTAGTACACAAAAACTACTGATTGGATTTTAATGAAACTTTACAATAATATAGTTCATACATGACAATAACAAATCGGCTACTTTTAATCCCGGATAATTAAAGGGTTCCCGTGGGACAGTCAAAAAACTATAGTAACTTATTCAGCTTAGTACACAAAAACTACTTATTGGATTTTGATGAAACTTTACAATAATATAGGTTCAATCATCAGAATAACAAATAGGTCACTTTTTATCCAGGAAAAATATACAGTTCCCGTGGGATAGATGTTTTCGTTTATTTGTAACGTATTATGTAGACAACATAGACCCCAAAACAATAGTTATTAAAAAAATTGTCTGTTTGTCTGTTTGCCTGTATGTCTATTTGTCTGTTTTTGTATGCGCGTTTCACGGGAAGATACAATAACTGGTTTTATCGAGTCCTCCCTAGAAACCTTCCGCTGGCTTAACCTTAAGACATACATACATCAAAACAATATACTAAAAATTGTAGGTCTTGAAAAGTCCTACAGGAAAGTTCTGAATAGATTATGTATATCTCCTAAGCAATATCTATTTTTATCTATACCTATAATAAAACTAACTTAGTCAAATCGATGTGCGCGTTTTACGCAAAAAGTACTGAACAGATTTTAACTAAATTTTGTATAGTGATAAATTAGTACTCGGGTCAACATTTAGGATACCTTTTACGACAGGCAAATTATTCATTCCCACGGGAAAACTCAATAAGTGGTTCTATCGAATCGTCCTTAGAAATTTATATGACTAACGTTGGCTCAACCGAGATAGATGAAAACATTGTGGAAGAAAATTGTAAGTCTTAAAAAGGTCTATAGAAAAGTTCTACATAGTATATGTCTATCTCCTAAGGTACACTCGCTATAACTATTTTAATTATTATATATTACTGTTTTATTATACGTTATTTATTCTATACGTAATAAAACTGTAGAGGTTAGAAAAAAAATGCTAAAAAACGAGTCAGTTCTCTTCTTACATCCCGAAAGAAGAGAAATAGAACAAATCCTGTTTTCTTTCAATTTTTTTGTTTCTCTGTCTGTTTGTCTGTTTGTACGGGCTAATCTCCGAAACTATTGAAATGATTTAAATGAAATTTTGCACGGTAGTACCTTATATCTCCGGTCAACATCTAAGATACTTTTCATTCCAGAAAATTAAAGAGTTTCCGTGGGATATTTAAAAAACTATAGTAACTTATACAGCTTAGTACACAACAACTTAAGCACCTAATTTAGTAAAATTTGGCATGCTGATACCTTATATTGCCGGTCAAACAACAGGTTACTTTTCATCCCGGAAAAATGAACGGTTCCCGTGGGATAGATCTGTTTGTGCTTTTCCAGAGGTGAACCCGAGCGAAGCGAGGGTGAGCCGCTAGTTATAAATATAATTATAAATATAGTAATGGAAACACTAAATATAGATTACTAATTAATATTTTTAAAATTGTAATAATTATAAGAATAACAGCAAAAATTAAATAAATAATATTCCATATTCAATTATAAAACTAATTCAAATTATAAAAACGTTTAAAGTTGTAAAATATTATAAGGTAATTGGTGCAAATTTCATTTTGTTAATTGTGGGTAGGCTGTCTGTAACAACTATACCTTCAAGACATGTAACACCTCAGTCTCTCCCGTGACCATGGATGCTGTAAAGCAAACGTCAGGAACCAAAAATCAAAATAAATCCGCGAAATAATCCGAAAAGATAGTTTTATTTAAAATGTCAAATATTCGCGTAAATCTAAGAAAGTATTATGTGTCCCAACATTTATTAAAAAAAATGGTAAGGCGTGGCTACAAAACCTTAATAATATAATATAGTAACAAATTAGAATTATTGAAATATAATACCTGTAAATGTTTAACTCTATTAGAAGTTTAGAACTACAAAGAATACCTACTATGAAAATTACACTTCCTAATAATTATGTTTATGAGTATATAATACTAGTTACAGCCTGCGGTCCCATCCACTTGTATAGATCCACCACCACTACACTTGATCCTTGATTTAATGGCGCTCAAGATGGGTATTTTGTTTTATCTACATATATTACTTGACTGTTTAAATAAAACTTAGCTACATATATTTTCAATCCACACCACTTATTACTGTTAAAAATCGTGATATCCTCGTACATTTTAAAAATCTCCAAAATCTCGAAAAAGTAAATTTCAAAAAAAAAACAAATTTGTCTTACCGTATACTTTTACAGAGTATATTTAGATATACTAGTAATACATTTTTGAAATATCTTTTGAAATATTCTTAATATAGGTACCAAAATGTTAATCGAAGTAAACAGGGAAATTGGATTGTAGATAGTCATTAGGCTTAGATGCATAACACTATACCTATATCACGGTAGCGACAACGTAATCCCGCTCAATGCATGTAGTACAAACACGATCGGAACCCAATACGAGACTCGACCGCAGTGCCGACACACAGAACACAACTACCATACTAAGGTCGGCCTATACACCACACGCGTGATAATTCACCAAAACAGCGGATATGTCGACGCTTTGTGTTGTATTTCCCCATTCATGTTCAAACATTGACCAATATTAACGCAATGTTTTACAGGAACGTCATTGTTCGCTGTGGCTGCTCATGAATTTGGCCACTCGCTCGGCCTCAGCCATAGTTCAGTAAAAGGCGCGCTCATGTTCCCATGGTATCAAGGTATACAACCAAACTTTGTGTTACCAGAAGATGACAGAAATGGCATTCAGCAAATGTATGGTAAGAAATCGCGATTGATTTTTAAATAACCTTAGTAAATATTAAATAATAAAAATATTTTTAATTGTTTAACAAACATTTTTTTAGGTCCAAAAGTAAAGAAATCTTGGGCTAGAATACCTTACAGACCAATAGATACTCCACCGCCTACGACAACAACAACAACAACTACCACTACGACAACAAGAAAGCCTTACATTCACAGACATTACCATCGTCCTTATACTCCTTATCCTCGAGCACCAAGTAAATACCCTGTATATTATCCTGAAAAACCAAACAATCCTGAGAGGCCAACTTATCCTGAGAGGCCAAATTATCCTGATCGGAGTCCTTACTATCCAGATCGTCGCCACTATAATACAACTGAGGAACATCCTCGACGCACTAATCATCACTATCCGCGTACTACTGAAACGACAACTCAAGCGACTACATACCGCCCTCGTTATCCTCACGTTCCCGAATACCCGAGTCATCCTAGACCTAATTATCCTACAGATTCTGGTCAAAACTATCCAAAGAAGAAACCTTATTATCCAGTGAAGACAACAACTGTAAAACCAACTCCGCCCCCGGATAAACCTGATACCTGTGATACAAGTTACGATGCTGTATCTCTTATAAGGGGTGAACTCTTTATTTTCAAAAATAGGGTAATTATCTTATATTTCCTAATTATTTTACTTAACGGCACTCTGAAAAATTTGGATGTTCTAACAAAATGGAATAATTTACGATTTGACGACACGTTTGGCTCAGTTTGTAGTGACCCTACTTACTGTGTCAGCGGTCGCGGGTACGAGTCCCGCTGGGGCATTCATTTGTGTGATGAGCACGAATGTTTGTACTCCAGTCATGGGTGTTTATATTTATAATATGTATGTATTTTAAGTTATATATGTGTAGTGTATCAACTATCTGGTATCCATAACACAAGCCTCGTAGCTTACCATGAAACTAGATGGTGCTGTGTGTTAATGTCCCAACATATTTATTATTTGTTTATATTTATTTATTTACAGTACCATTGGAGGATAGGTGCGAACGGCCGCTATCCGGGCTACCCTATCGAAATATCTAGGATGTGGTCTCAGCTTCCGAAGAATCTTACACATGTCGATGCCGTTTATGAGCGACCAGATCGTAAAATAGCTATTTTTATTGGTGAGTCGAGTAAAAATTCATTAATTAAAAATTTTAATCTTAATGTGTATGATATGATATGATAATAATATATATATATATATATATATATATACATATATATATATATATATATATATTATGATACTTGTATATGATTTTGCATATTTAAGTGTCAAGCATAAGTTATCGATTTATATGTATATTAATTTATTTTAGGCAAGCAGCTCTACTTATTCGATTCGCAATATTTATTACCAGGATATCCTAAGAATTTAGTTCAACTTGGACTACCTGATAGTATAGATAAATTGGATGCAGCCATGGTTTGGGGACACAACGGCAAAACTTACTTTTATAGCGGCACTATGTATTGGAAGTAAGTTATAGTCTACGTACTTTAATGGTAATTAAGTAAATGGCTTTAATTTGAGAAGATAATGAAATAAGAATAAATTATAAAGCTCTAATTTTTTGACGACACATATTGCTCAGTTTGTAGTGACCCTACTAGCTGTGCCAGCGGTCGCGGGTTCAAGTCCCGCTGGGGGCATTCTTTTGTTTGTATTCCAGTCATGAGTGTTTATATTTATAATATGTATGTAAATATTTAAAATTATATAATATGTGTAATGTGTAGTGTGAGAGTGTGCAATGAAACAAGATGGTGATGTGTGTTAATGTCCCAACATATTTATTTACAAAATATTTATCGAATATAATAAAGAGTGATAATATGTATGAACCATGAACGAATTCATGATATGAACATATTATCACTCGTATTATTTGTATTCTTTATATTTATTTATTAGTCTTTGTAATCTATTAATAATTGTAATTATAATATTTTTAGATTTGATGAAGACATAGGACGTGTTGAACTAGACTATCCTCGTGATATGGCAATGTGGAAAGGCGTTGGTTACAATATCGACAGCGTATTCCAGTGGAAAGATGGTAAGCACATTTTACTTCATTGTGAATAGAAAGATTTAAAAACTCTAATTTATATATTTAATCAAATTTAAAACTTAACATAGACTTAATATCATTACTTTTCACAGGCAAAACCTACTTCTTCAAAGGAAAAGGTTTTTGGAAATTCAACGATCTACAAATGCGGGTAGAGCATGAACGACAACATCCGTCAGCGCCATTTTGGATGTCCTGCCCCACTGAGCGTGCCGGACGACGAGCGCCGTTCCGCGCCCCGCCCGCGCCTGGCTCTACGCTGCGCTCTCCCAGTGCAGCCCCGAAATACGACAACCACTTCCTTCCATATTGCGCTTCTATTATTCTACTATTATTAACCTATAACCAATACAAGTTGTAATCAATACATGTGCCACTATTTTTTAGTGTCTTGTAAGTTAGATTAATATGCATAATGTGAATCGACAAGTACATATCGATATTGTCTGAGGTAAAACTATTAAGTAATTGCGCAAACGTTGCACTCACTGCCCGTCTTAGTAAGTAAATTATTAAATTTTGTATATAAAGTAAAATACATTTTACTATTAGTGTTATATTAGAAATGAGGCATTTTGTTTTTATTTTTTAATGATGTATGTACATTTTGATCTCAACATGATCGAGTTTCGTTTTATGAATGTAAGGTATATAACACCATTTGTTTAGCTTCTGTACAGGTTATATTGTCTCTCGATGTCAGTATTTAACTAATATAAAATAAAGTTTCATAATAATAAATAGTTACTATGAAACAAATATATTCCTATAGCCATTATGTTAATATAATAATCTGAAATATTCTTTATTACCTAATAGTTGTAAACAATCATTATGGATTCCACAAGAATGCCTTAATAGTCATATAAAAATTTCAAAAATGAAATGTAAAATATATATTATTATATGATAACTATAATTAAAAATAAATTTTGTATAATAACAACACTCATATGCTGGTTAGAGGTTCACATATTCTGTAATTTGTAAAAATGTAGCAGTAGATTTTTATATATTATCATAAATGTTTATCAAAGTAGTAATTTTATATTAAATAAAGATTAAATATTATATCATAACTTATTATGTCATAACTTTAAGATCAACATGATCTGTTATTTAAACATTGTAAGTACTACAAATAGGAATGAAATGGAATATGTCAAACTTTGTTCTGTAATAAAATAGGTCTATTTTACTGAATGTTTAGCTATTACTACCACAATTTTAAAAAATAACATTTTTGATTAATAATAATCATTAATAAAATTGAAAGTGATGTTACTGGCATATAAATATATTAACAAACATCTATGGAACTTAATTACTCTCTATGCATGAGTGAATCAATAGGAGCTCTCCAGAATAAAAATGGTGCTTTTCATAGTTAGTTATTGTACAGAATAAATTGAAATTAAGTATTTTTGTATGGTGTTCTCTGTAAGTGTTGTATGAGTATCAAAATTATAATGTACTAGAATAACATAAATATTAATAGTATTCTTTCATAATCTTATATTACTATGTGAAATAATTTAATAATGATTTTGTGCAATCAGCTGAGAAGCATATAATATTATAAAGCTTAAGCATTAAAAAGCCTATTTGCTTTAGATCTTATATATACCTTTGAAGTCATTCATATAAACAAGTAGTTTATTACAATATCTTTGGTCACAAATAATTATTTAATAATAACTGTGATATTTACTTTTATTAAAAATGCCAATGGCAATAAAATAAATCAAAATTTGTAAGCTTTTAAAATAAATGCTACTCATTGCAGTTTAAGTAATTTTTAGGTTTAAGAATAAAAACAAATAAAGATTTTTTATGACTTTATATATATATTTTATTATGATACCTACCTAAACTATTTCCAAAATATAGTTATTTTAACTACCTAATAATCCCAAGTAAAATAATTCGTTTAATTCTATAAGGATATAAAAAAATGGACTTAAAACTGAACAAAAACTGTATTAATAAATGTCAAGTAGAAAACAATAACATTATAATGTTAGTCTTTTCACCCAACTGCAGCAAAGCAAAAAAAAGAGTAATATGTTTAATCCATAGGTATGTGTGTTTTATCCTAGGTTCCTTAATAATTACTTGATGGCTTATCCATTTTGACGAATCGTATCATAGTATGATATATACTAAAATGATAAAAATCAAAATGGAAGATTTAAAGTGCCAATATAGCTATTCTAAAAACTTTTCAAACCTATTAAGTGGGGTATCAAAATAAAATATTTTAGTAAGTGTTAAAAATATATACAAGTTATATGTATGTGTAACAGGATAACATATTGTTATGTAAAACTTATACTGTTATAACTGACCAAACCTAAAAGATCTTTAGGAATGATAAGTTAAGGATATTGCTTTTATTCATATTTGATATAAATTATAAATGTGAAAGTTTGTAATATGGATGTTTGACACTCTTCACACCAGAACGGCTGAATGAATCTGGTTGAAATTTGGCACAGAGATAGATTATAGTCTGGGACAACACATAGGACTTTTTATCCCAGAAAAATGTACGGTTCCCGTGGGATTTCCTAGAGGTGAAGTAAGGGTGAGCCACTAGTATTTGATATAACTTTAATTTTTTATTACTAATACAAAAATAAAGTTTCATTAGGTACAAAAAGAGAAAGAGGTTAGTAAAAGAGTAAAGATTATATATAACTATTTAATTTAAAAAAGAAGTAACTATAAATTATGACTGTGGTTAATTATTATCTCCTTTCAATTGTACATTGGCTTCCTTAAAACCCAATTTATTCCAGTCTTCCTTGGCCATAAGGTTGTGTTCCATACGACATGCTAAGTAATCTTTCGCTTCATCACGACACATAGAATTATTACTATTGTTACTAAATAAGCAATTCATGTACTTAACCATACTTTTCTTGCAAATCCCATCATGGTCAAGAGGGAAACTGCCTTTATCCGGAGGTGTCGGCACGAATTGCTTCTGTCCAAATGTCATTGCCGTGGACATTTTTATTTTTTTAAATAAATATTTTCATAAAAACTATTTTCAACAAATAACATTGAGATGAAGAAACACAAATTTTGCGTATTAAACGTCACAAAAGACATATGATTAGTGCTGCCAACATTTCAATACAAAGCCGTACTGTCACACACAGGGCTGCCAGATAAAAGTCGTTGATTTACCCGACCAAAAAATCTCAAAATACCCTATTTATCCCGCCGGCGCGGCAACAACCAAAAGCAGAATACCCAAAAATTCATGTTTATTTAATATAGAATAAAAGAACGAACTAATGTTAAAAAAAGAAGTCATTGTAATCAGTTCTCAATTAAACAGCTTTAAATTATTAAATTAAACATAAAAAACTTATAATATCGAATTAATAAGCTAAACTAAAATACTATACAATCTAGAATAATCTTTTGATTTTCATGAAACTAAGGGAATATAAAAAAATAATTTAAATTGAAATGATAAGCCATTTCCGAGAAAAGTATGTTGGCTGATCACCCCCAATCAATCGCCCACAAGTTCAAGTGGACGCTTACATATAAAAAAAAATCGTCCAATTTTCAGATAGGGCTAATTCTTTTCGTCTTGAACTCTACTTTCTGAAAAAATAAAAACATTGTATAGTCGTCCTGTAAAAACGCCCTTAAAAAATTAAGAAATTGGTAAAATAGATACTTTTTTATTTTGTAAACTACATTTTTTTCAATTATAATTGAAGAAGTGTACTTTATAGAACAAATTTTTATAAATTGATTACACCAATGAATTTTTCGAGAAAAAACAAAAATATGAGAACCTTCATTTTTAATTTGACGCTTATTTTTATACAATGTCGCAATAAATATTCCAACTTTGCAATTTGAAGTCGTGAAAAATTAAAAAACTGGTATTATGTGTCTCCAAAAACACATAGCATTGAGATGAAGAAAGCAGCTCTGTGATCTGTCAAAACTATCGAGAATACAGATTAAAACCTGAATCCAATAAAGTTTGATAATTAGGTTACCAGAGGGCGCAGGCATCTGCGCAGGCATCTGCTTGCCGCCTTTTCCGCTGTCAAGTGTCATAGCGTTTTGTGATTTGAAAAAGTTTACATCGAAAAGTTATAAAGTCGATGTAAATGAAGTTTTAGGTGAATTTTATGAGTAAAAAGGAGATTGGTAAGCATTGTTAATATTTTTAAAACATGGAACCTATGCGTTACGACGACGTGAAGGTTGGTCGGAAGTCAATTGCTCTGGAGGGAGAACATGTCTCGGCCTTGACCTCTGCAGCTTCAGGGACCGGCTCCTTCTCTTTCTCGGAGGTTGTGGAGGGCTTGGCTTTACCCATGCATAATAAACGTCGTAGAACGCATAAGTGAAATTTAGATATTATGGTAGGTATATACCTACTTTAATCTCAGATGTGCTATACAGATATTAAATATTTAACACAATTACTAGCTTATATGTATTTGTATACATAAGATAAAGTAGTAGCGCTAATTCTGAGAAATTTATTATTAATTCTAATCAACTGTCAACAAATGAATTACCAGAAACATTAATATTAATTCTTGATAGTTAAGATACTGAATTTGCCATCAAAAGCTTTGTTCAACCTATTGATGTTTTTATAAATTGAATAATCTACTGTGTTTTTTTTCCCTAGCTTGAAAGCCTATTAAAGATAAGAAACTAGGGCGGAATAGTCTAGGTTTTACTAGGTTTATAGGTTTAAAAGTTGATGATTAGCTAGGGTCATTTCAATAAATAAAAAATTATTTAGCTTCTACAGAACTCTTAATAGCTGGGCTATTTACTAGGGAGTAGAGATTTATTAAGAAAGAGCTTACAATCAATACTTGATTGGACTGTAGTCAATCCAAAAGATTTTAATTTAAATTCTTTATATGAGAAATTTTCAAGAGCCTGACCCAGGTTCTGCAAAGCACCCAACGTGCGTTCACCTTGTCGTGGTGGGGGGGCTCAGTAGTGTACTCGCGAAGCCAAGAAACGCACAGGGAGGTGGCCCGCTTCGGTGGGCGGTGGGAGGCGGCCTTCTTCGGAGGGTGGTGTACCATGCGGGTTGCTCCTGGTACTTCTCTGATAGCAGAGTGGACCGTGGAGCAGCCCCATGGTTGTTGTGGTCTGCTCCGGCAGACCTGCCGTCGGGGCGTCGTAGTTGAATGCGTAAGCGATCCTGCGACGCCCCCTTAAGACGGGGGAAGGTTTTGTTGGGTTTTAGTGGGTAGTACTGGCTTCGCCGGTGAGTCCCACACTTCGTGCGTAAATGCATTTCCCAACGTTAAAAAAAAAAAAAAAGGTTCTGCAAAGCACCCAACCAACGTGCGTTCACCTTGTCGTAGTGGGGGGGCTCAGTAGTGCCCGGCAACCCAACCGGGCGCGAAGCCAAGAAACGCACAGGGAGGTGGCCCACTTCGGTGGGCGGTGGGAGGTGGCCCTCTTCGGTGGGTGGTGTACCATGTAGGTTGCTCCTGGTACTTCTCTGATAGCAGAGTGGACTTTGGAGCAACCCCATGGTTGTGGTGGTCTGCTTCGGCAGACCTGCCGTCGGGGCGTCGTAGTTGAATGCGTAAGCGATCCTGCGACGCCCCATTAAGACGGAGGAAGGTTTTGTTGGGTTTTAGTGGGTAGTACTGACTTTATTACGCCGGTGAGTCCCACACTTCGTGCGTAAATGCATTTCCCAACGTTAAAAAAAAGGTTCTGCAAAGCATATAAATGTAGAAATAACTTTGCAAATAATATGTGACAAGAGTTCAGAATTTTTTGAAATTATGCCTTACCTTAGGAAAACTTTACAGAATGTACCTCATAGCTCAGAGTATTTATTTACTGTAGAGGCCCTAGGGCCAATTATAGTTCTTGGATATTCTAAGGTTTTATTTGAGGAATAGAAGGGTAATAAATCATACAAAACATACTGATTTATCTTTTATTAAAAAATACAGAAAAGAATGAAGCTCAAAAGATCTAAAAAGAGATGTAGACATACTGTTAAGAGGGATCAGCTCCTTTGTCAATGTGAGTCCAATAGCAGAGTTCCAGCTCCAAAAATAAGGAGGCATTAAACTCAACAGAACTTCAGAGGTTGGTGCTTAAGCTTTGTTTACAGACAAATGGAGTCGAAAGGGCGCTAATCAGTTTGTTTTAAATTTTATAGCCAATTGCCTTTACCCGTCAGAATGAAACCACCGTTGAAGTTCCCATCCAAGCCGATTTAGTACATGATCTACCCGAGTTATTCAGACGTAACTTGAAAAATGTAAGAACAACTCAAAATATGTATTGAGTGAGGACAACAGATAGTGAATTATGTGCCCTTTTCGACCTCAGAGACTTAAAATATTCGCATAGTAATAAAGCGTTTTATTTGATATCTCAGGAAGATATAATAAACTTACTATAGATAAGATAGAATAATTTTTCTTTCAGGACAATAATTGGATGGTGAAAATAATAATTCACCAGGCCTATATTCATTTATGTATGAAAAAAGGCACACACACGGTTCCTCAGTGTTATTTACGAGAGAGAGATCCTTCAGTTAACAACCTTATCATTTAATCTGTCTTTAGCCCCCCGTACCTATGCAGCGGTATCGGTATCGAACCGGGTTGCGGAAACCTTGCGAAACCGAGGTAATTTGGCAGCGGTATCGAACTGGGTTGCAGAAACCTTGCGAAACCGAGGTACTTTGGTAGCGGTATTGAACTGGGTTGCGAAAACCTTACGAAACAGAGATGTTCGTTGGCTATAGCTGGACGATTACCTGTTGTATGCCAGGTCAGATTTAAGTGAGTTGCGCATGTTACGGAAACGCTCGCAACTTTAGTCTCTGGGTTGGCCAATTACGAAAAATCGGTTTCAGTGCTCACACACGAGTTACGATAGTTCAGCCTAGTTTGGAATACCTAACATTTAAAGTTAGCCCGGCCAACTCAGAACGTCCTCGAATAAAAAGAACTGTTAAAGTTGTTAGAAGGAGAACTGCTCTCTAGGGGATCTTGAAGTTTGCTACTCATGCCAACCATGCAGTTCTTCAGGGTCAGCTACACTGTTTCAGGTTATATCTTTTCCTAAAGAAGTTCACTCAGAGAGGTTGGAAAAAGAAATTATGCCCTACAGGAGCTAAAGTGGTAGTTGGATGCAATAGGTTGCACTCCAACTCCACAAAAAGGAAGTAACGTACTTCTTGACCACAGACATGGATGCGGGCTGGGCACTTAGCACTTAGACAACCTAAGGAGTAGACAGGCTCCAAATCAAATACCTTGGCACTCCAATCTAGAGGAGGTGTATGCACTGTTTGCTGTGATCAAGTCACAGGTGTCTCTTTTAAGGACTGCGCACATACTGGAGCAGTCCGATAATCAGACCCTAGTCCCCTATATTCGGAATCAAGGGAGACTCTGTCTATGAACCTGTCTGATAAAGGTATGAACCTTCTGGTAGAGGGCTGTTGGGTTAAAACTTAAAAGTAACTAATTCTATCAATATAACAATCTCAGCTTTTTACCTCCCAGGAAAGTTAAACGGTATCGCAGATCGCTTATCAAGGGGAAAGCAAGTACCCGAATGACATCTGGTCCCGCCAACCACGGAGGCTATTTTTGAAGTGTGGGGGATACGAGACATAGACCTGTTCGCGTTCAGCGAGACCGCCGTCTTAGAGGTCTATGTATCGCTTGACTCAAATGAGAAATCATTTCATTTTTGCGACGCCAAGTGAGGCGGATAGCCGTAATTGGGTATTTCAAGTCTTATGGAAGTTTCCACTTCCCAGTCTAATTACTAGAGTCTTAGCACACTTTAATGAGGCGAGGGGGACGTACTTTCTGATAGTGCCTCAGTGGGCTCCAATGTTTTTGGTATCCAGACCGTCAAACGAGATTTCTGGCCAATCCAGTTCTCGTAAAGAACCTGCGGAAGGTTCTTGTTGATGAGATGACAGTAACAAGCCCACCACAAGTAGACAAGTTAATT